TGTGTTTTAAAAAGTACTATGAACCCCTTTGATCATAAGATATTTGAAAGAAAATTATTTCATATTTTATTGATGAATAGTTTGTTAATGATTTGTAGAAGATATGAGGGATATGGAGAATGCAAATCTCCATAACTTATAAAATTTAAGGACATTATTTTGCCTTTAATTGGTGCTTACAATTTGGGTTTGTTTGTGGAGAATATGGATGAAGATGGATTATCCACCTCATCAAGATTTATGATTCTATTATCTTGTGTTAATTTTACTGGATCAATCTATTGATAATGGAAGACCTAAAAGCTATATAATCGACGGAGTTTGATCAACAATCATAAATTGTCCCTTTTATGATATCTCGACTAGACGAATATGACAATATGCTTAGAAAACTCATCTTTTCAGGATGAGAACTATATCAAACTAAGCTCAAGAAAACCAATATAGAAGTAGCTTATATGTGTTTTTATCGGACCACTATATTTTGTGTGCATTAAGATTAGCTAATTAGAGCTTGGATTAACGAAAAATCAAAAGCATTGATAATGATCATTGAAAGATATTTATACTTAATTATCTTAGCCTAATGGCATATTGTTGCTAAATTGATAATTTAAGACTAAAGATTGAATATACAATATGAAAGGTAGGTGGAATACACATAAATGAAGAAGATGCAATATCTTAGCTTTGTCGGGCGGTGGTCCGACAAAACTCTAGCCTCATGTAGTGGTATGACATTATTCCGAGCTTCAGGTGGTGGTCCAGCGGAACTCCGGGCGTCAAGTACGTAGTGATCCGGCAGAACTCCGGGTGTTAGGTGGTGATCCAATGGAACTCCATACGTCAAATGGTGGTCTGGCGGTACGTACTCCGAGCCTTAATTCGTGGTCTAATGGAACTCCGAGCCTTAATTGGTGGTCCGGCGAAACTCTGGTGTAAGGTGGTGGTCTGGCAGAAATCTGAGCCGCCAATGGTGGTCCGACGAAATTCCAAGCCTCAAGTGGTGTTCCGACAAAACTTCAGGCCTCTAGTGGTTGTCCGGCGAAACTTCGGGCATCATGTAGTGATTCGATGGAACTCCGGGTGTCAAATAGTGGTCTGGTAGAACTTTGGGCTTCAATTGATGGTCCGACAAAACTCCGGGCCTCAAGTGTTGGTCTGGCAGAACTCTAGGCCTTAAGTGTTCCGACGTCAGGTGGTGGTACTCCGGCGGAACTCTAGGCGGTGGTCGAGGAGGAGATAAGAGGTCTATTTATAGATTTTCTTAAGTGGCATGGATCGTAAATAGGAGGAAGTTCAGGAGTTGTTTGGATGGACGGTCAATGTTGAATCCCTTGATCTCGTGGACCTTTTGTTAGATGTTTGAAGGTCTAAATGATGTCGGAATTCCATGATCTTGGGCTCATTGGATTTGTCTCGTTGAGACACTCGATAGGACTATAAGCATGTCAGGTTTAGAAATTGTTTGGTAATTCAAATTGAGGTTTGAATCTTTCAACAGTGCTTCGGGTCCTTGATTTGGACCAATTTGAGCTCAGATTGAGTCGAATTTGGTGTCGTTGGGTTTGTATTTTCGAGATGTTCAGTTTGACTATAAATTTGTTAAAATCGGAATTCAAATGGTCCCAATTTTAATTTCGGAAGTTCCAAGTTCATTTTGCCTCGAGATTCTTGCCCGATCAAGATAAATTTTTGATGATGTATCATATAATTTCATCTATATTTTTATAAACTTCTAATAAATGATTATCTTTTTTATTTTCTTAAGGTATTTTATGTTTATAATAAAGTTAATTATAACCTATATTTTTATACACAGCATTGAAATTAATTAATCTTTTAGTTTCAAAATTCAATATTTTTTTTAAATGATCTTCTTAAATGTACAATTTATATTTCTTTTTTTTGTACATCAAAATATCTCAAGAGTTCTATTCAAAACAAAGGTAGAGTACTCTAGGGAAACTCAATGAAATATGAAAATTGAAGTTTGTGAACTCGTATGATCCACGATGAACTATCCAGATTCCAGGCTCATAGCAAACTCACTATGTTCATATTGAACTAACTTAAGCATTTTCAATCCAAGGCCAAAACCAAGTCTACTCACCCAAGCTAAGAAGCTATTTTCCCAAACTATGCTCAGGCAATCGACGATTTTTACTAACAAGTCAGCAACCATGCACTACTTGTTGGGAACTTAAATAATCAAGCTGACATTTCAACCAGTGATGGTTTCATATATTTTGATATATTTTTCTATCTTTTAGATAGCTTTTCTTGTAGTGTCAGAAATCTTAGCAATAAATATGGGCGTTCCAAGGAGAATTTAGACACGGAGTTTAGCTCTCAAGCCTATACTTTTTGACTATTTAGTGAAATAGTATAGCCTCTCTCTCTATATTCACTATTTTTCTCTTTTCTATCTCTCTCCTCTTTATAAACCTTGCAAGTAAGGGTCTAATATCATGCTTGCTACATGTTTGGCTTCAAAGAGATCACATTGGGAAATTTAAGCTCTTAACATTTGTACTTCCTTTTTTTACTGTTCTCTTCATTGTAAGTCAACATTTGCTACAAGATATAACTAGTTAGAAGAGAATAGAGCATAGTTAACAAAATAATAATAATAATAAATTTACAATTGATCAGTATGTAATTCTATACTACTTCTCTACATGGATATAATTACAATAATAATATATTAATATGAAATCACATACATAAACCTCTTAAGCTATACTCATCCGGTAATTTCTTCTTAAAATTAGCAATCTTGTGTTTCGTTTGGAACGATTTTCTTACTGCTTTTTAAAGCAGTTTTCTAGTATAAAAATTTTAATTTTTAAACTAAAATACTGTTTTAAAAAGAAATAAAAAAACTATCCCAAACGAATCCTTAATTTCAGCCTACAATAATTGCGTGATAGAAAAATAAAATCAACTCTAGCATCGACAAATTTCTTCAAATTGGATCCTTAATTTCTATTTTTAATAATATAAGTGAATAATATAATATTTTTCCTTAAATAGTAGAGAAGGTTGATCCACTGAATTAGTTGGTTCGAGTATGAAAGGACTATCAGTGTTAAGTACTCTATGCTTTCATGATAATTACAGATAAACAATAAAGAGCAATGGAAAATATATCATTTCGTACTGTTTCAGCTATCCTCACCGTTTGAAAAAACAAAGAACAAATTATCAGCTTTCATTGTTGAATTTTCCAAACCCATAAAGACAGGTAGATAAGAATCTACCCAATAGAAAACCCGTCCACACTGCTTTGCCGTTTTGCCTCTTTACAAAGCTTTCAAATATTCTTGCTCATTTTTTCTTCATCTAGTCAGAGCTCACCTGCGCTAAGTCCTCGAATCCACGGAGGATCTGTCTTCACAAGGCAGCCCTTCCACGCTTCTGCAAGCTTCTTTTAAGCTTAGTCTCCTTTGCTCTGAGCTTTGTTGAATTATACAAGCGATGTTATTGGGTTCTGATTCTTGTCAAATATGCTATTGGGAAGCGCCCATGCTAGCTATCATTTTCTTAATAATTCTGTCGAGTGCATGTGGCAGCTCAAATGAAAACTTGACTTCTCATATTTGAGCAAATATCTTCATGTTTTATTGTGCGGAAGATAAGATTCTTATTAACATATAAGGTAAAATTTTTAGATTAAATTTGATAGAAAATATTGCATTCTTAAACCTTTTCTTTCTAAATTTAGTCCTTGTGAAGATTTAGCTAAATTTTTTATTTGTATCCCAACATTTGTATTTGTTTTCAAAATATATATATTTTTTTCAATAGAAGGAAAAGGTTTTAATACTTCTTAAGAAATTAATACTGTCCACCTAATTAATTTGCAATAGCTTATAAAGTTATATAGGCAATAATTTCATTCAAATAAGATAAAAAGCTTTCTAAATTCATATATGTTATTATTCTATAAAGATTGCACAAAGCAAACAAAGAAATAATCCTCCTATCACAATAGAAATATATTGAAACTGGCACAATTTAACATATTTATAATTTATAAACTTTCTAGCTAATTTGCTGTTTGGACAATAATAATTTTGTTTGATTATTTTTTTATTATTTTTCAAAATTTATATAGTTGAAAAGTTACTTTTTAAAATCAAAATAGCTCTCAGATTAATTTCACAATTAACTTTATAAAACACTATAATTATCTCAAAATTCTTAAACATAATTATGATACATTAAATTTGAAGTAAATATTTTATTTAACATATTTAATTTTTTATCCGTTATTCTTATTCCAACATAACTATTATTCTGTTTTTTTTTTCACAAATTTCCTCTATTCTATACCAAAATTAGAAATATTTTTCTATAAATATTTCTAATAGGAAATTTCCTTATATTATTATTCTATCAAACATGTCTTTCTTTTTTCTAGAAATTGTAAGTGTAAAATGGGCACATATAC